ATTTTCAAATAAGCAAAAATTAAAATCTATCAAGGTGTTCAAAAGTTATAGCTTTTCAAAAATTGAAGTGATACTTTTACCGGTAATTTTCAGATTTTTGAATTCTAGAGATCAAAAATCTCAAAAAACTAGAAAATCAACACTGTAATATTTTTAAATGCCTTTAGCTTAGAAGAACTCAACTTAGTGGGAAGTTAATACAGGGATGGCCTACAGGGTTAACCGCTATCCAGATTTTTTTTAATGAAATTTTTGTTATTCATCATCATTTAGAGTCGTATTATACAGATTGCAAAGCTATAACAATACCCGGGAAAAAATGAATTTGCCTAATCATATATATTTATATATGATTATATATGGAATATATAGAATTATATATAATTATGTATGATTATATCTAAATTTTTATATAAAATATATATAATCATATGTAGACTAATATATTGTATGTATATTTTATATAAGTCAATATATAATCAGATCTGAGTTATCTAGGTCTATGATTATATCTAGGTGATATGATTATATATAATCTATATATAATTAGATCTGATTAGACCTGAGTTATCTAAGGCTATATATGATTATATATAAATCTATATATAATTAGATCTGATTAGACCTGAGTTATCTAGGGCTATATATGATTATATATAAATCTATATATGATTATATCTGATCAGATCTAATTTTTATAGGACCATGTATATAATTAAACGTAAAGCTATGTACATAATTATATCTAATAAAATGTAAATTATAAATTTACATTCATTAATTTATAAAAATATATAATAAGATGCAGCATTTTTTATTGATTGTATTGAATAAATATTTTGTTGAGTTAATTTGTTCCACTTGCAATGTCATATGATATGAAGATTGCTTATAAACAAAAATCATCTTTAAAAATGATTTTCATTAATTATATTACATGATAATAACGTTTATTGTAACATACCGAATTCTATCATAGCTCATAATTATCTTTTGAATTTTTCAATATTAAAAACGTTAATTTATTTAGTGATTTGAAATATTATCATGTGTTACAGTTATGTATTCCAGCTGTCGAGTTATAAAAAATATCAAAAAAAAATTGCTATTTTTTGGCTTTTGATTTTAAATAAATATTTGTTAACTGATAACAAATATTGATTAACATTTAATAAATCGTATTTAATGAATAATTTATTAACTGGTAATAAATGTATATTAAATCCTATGATGTTAAAAAAATCACTTATTATCAGTCAATAAAGCTCAATAAATATAAACAAATCCTTTCATCAATATCAGTGTAACTATACGGAAATCATATATAATTATATATGAATCATTTATAACTATATATAAATCATATATCATTATGTATAAATCATATATAGTTATATATGAATCGTATCTCATTATATATGAATCATATATAATTATATATGAATTTTGTGATTACTATAAAACATTCTCTGTTTTCATCTCAGAATCTGCTACTCAAATGATTAATGATCTTTTAAACTACAGTTTTTTGTGGATGAAATAATGGAACTGTATTAATTAATTTAACTTATAAAAATCGATTATGTATTCGATTTGCATTAGTTGTAGGTATTTCACAAGCTTTACTCATCCAGTAAGTCTCGTATAGGTAAACAGGTAGTGTGTTGGTCTTTAAAGCGTCAGGTCCCCGGTTCGATCCTCACTCGCGGTGGATATTTTTCTATTTTTATAGAAATAATTATATATAATTATATCTAATTATATATGATTATATATGATTAGATCTGGCCAATTTTCAGGTCTAATTATATATAAGTGAAATTATATATAACCATATATGATTAGGCAAATTCATTTTTTCCCGGGTACTTTGCCATAAATTAATAGGATTTGGCGATAACTTCAGTCCATTTTCTCGAGAACGTACCAAATATTAATGTCCAACATCAGCTCAACCTCAAAAAACAAGCTTGATTGTCGAAAACAACATGAAAATCGGTTGATGCGTTCTAAAAATTGAAAACTGTAATAATTATTTAGAAGAAAAATAAATCAAGTTTTTTTTGCTCTTAATTTCAGAGTATCTTATAAACAGTTCGACAATTGATTTTAACCCTTTAGAGTCAGAGGATCTTGAAACGTCTACGCGTGATAGTGAGGACAGCGCAAATCCGTAGTAAGACCCAAGAGTAGGGTTTCACTTAACTTTAAAGCAATAATATAATGAGAAATCAGCACGTTAAAAATTAATCAAAAATGTCTAATTAAATGAACACAAAAAATATAAATCATGCATAAGGTTATTTTTTTAAATTTAATTCTTTATTAAAAAAATCTCGGTTTAGTTCCAAAAAATCACGTCGCCAACGTCGGCGCTACTTTCCAAACCAAGAGATTGTTTTACTTAGGATAAGTATCTGACATTATTAGTTCAAGAATAAATTTTTTCAACTAAGATAGCAGAATAACTTGAAACAAGATGTAAATTTTGAAGAAAATGATTTTCTTGAGTCAAGATGACTTTTTTTCTGTGTACAGACATACAGACACCATCACGGGAATAGTCAGGGAAGCTTCCTAGGACCTCAAAACGTCGAGTTCTGATGAAAACTCGATTTTCGAAAAACGGGGTGAAAACAATAACTTCCTGATTTTTGAAAATCTTCGATTTTCTTAGCGGGAAGTTAAAAATTTTACTTATTATTTTAAAAATAAATTTTAAAACCTTACTATCGAATTTCTAATTTTGTAAAATTAATAAAAGATTTTCTTTAATTTTTTTCCTTTGATAATACGTCGTTTTAGAATGAAAAAAGGCCTCATAGCAAATTTTATCCAAATTAAAACAATTCAATTTCAACCATTAGTTGATGTGTCTCGTAATGACTCGTATATGAGAATAGCCCAAAACAACTGACTGTTTTTATAATTTTTCTTTCCTATTTAAAAACAATAGTTAATGATATCTTAAACCTCTTTTTAAAAGATCAACTTAAAAAAAATTTTCGGAGTCTATCAAGATTTTCAACAGTTTCTGAAACCGTCAGAAATTGGACTTTATTTTGTTTTTAATTATTCATATTTGTTTGATCATTTTCTAGGGTTAAAATTTTTTATATTCTAAAAATTTTTAGTCGATATTATGATTCTCAAAGATCACTCAAAATTTCTACACGTCTCGTAACGTGATGCGGTTGAGGTAGTGTTTTAATACGCCAACTTCAAGCAATTTTGCAGTCTTAAAATGCCTCTATCACAACCGCATTGCAGTTATTCAATAATATGAGTAATATGTAATTATATATAATTGTTTCTGTGATTTTCTGTATTTATATGTGATTCTATAAGTAATTCTTGATAACTATATATCGAAGTTCTAATTAGTAAATTGTCTAACTAAACTCCATTTCAGAGAATCTTCTATTGGTACGAAAAAAACAATTACTCAAAATTTATTATCACTTTAAAAAACCATTTAATATCATTATTATCTACTAGAGATATAATATTTAGGTTTGAATTTTTCAAATAATTTATAATTCGTTTATGGCTACATCAAAATGTTTAAAAAATCACCCTCTAAAAAATATGGAGTTAGACAAATTGCTAATTAGACCATCGATATGGTCCATGTATTACAAGGTCATTCATTATTGATGACTAATTTTTTTTGCTCTTTCAGCAAAATATTGTTTTACTGACAAAAAAAAAAATTAGAAAAACGGTTCACCCTAAAGGCCATCCCTGCAACTTCCCGCTCATTTTGTACTTAAACGCTTTAAACTACACATTACGTTTTTGAGCTCTTCAAGCTCAAAAATATTATTTTTGTGTCAATTTGAGCTCTTCGAGCTCAAAAGTCTTATCAAAATTCGATGAAACACGATTTTTCTAATTTTTAAACTGCTGTAACTTTTCAATAAATCAACCGATTCTCACGCGGTTGGCGGCGATCGATGTGGTTTTTTGAGCTCTACAAATGATTCTAAACAAAAAAATTAATTTGATGAAAAATTTCAGAGTTATTACAAAAAAACACTTTTTTCGATTTTTTTCGACGATATCTCACGGACGCATCAACGCATTAAAAAAAAAAAAAACGATTCTCTACAAATTTGGGCTCTCAATTTAAATTCAAACTAGGGTCCAAGACCCCATTAGTGGCGGGGATCCCATTACCGACACTTTCTTAGATTTTGGTATTTATTCAATTACTTAAATCATTAATTTCTTTTATGAATATATTATTTCTAATCTTTAAGACCTTAAGATCAAAAAAATTTTTAATTTTTATTCCAAGTAGAACATTTTTTCATTGAAAGAAAAAGTTCCAATAGTAGCGGTCAAAGATGCCACTAATGGGGTCTTTTACCTTATTTTTTTTTTATTTTAAAGTTTTTTTCATTGTATACTCATAGGAAATTCAGGGTATTTTTTTTTTTAATTATTTTATTTTAGCAGCATTGAATACTACTTAAATGGATTAAAGCGAAATTTATATACAATAAAGCAGAAGAATTTTTCTAGAGTACTTATAGTTGAAAGACGCTAACTCATGTATTATGGTGTAAACTTATGTAATACGAGATTGTATTAAAGTCACTAATGTCAAATTCTAAAAAAATTATATGGTTTTTTGCATTTTTCAAAAAAACGGCTGAGGTGAGAAAAACTGAACTCAAGTTTCTTGTAAGGAATTTATAAAATATTCTACAAATTAATTTAAAAAGTACTATAACTTACCTTTTGATCTTATTTCCCGAAACTACAGTTTGAATACTCAATGTTATTCTTTTCACTATATGCCAAAGTTTCCTAAACTTTTCAATTAATATTTACGCAATAGCTCTTTGGTATCGAACCGGTTAATTACCATAATTATTTGTAATCACTCATAAAAATAAATTAACAAAATATCCATTTTAAAATTAATAAAGATAAGAATTTTTTTGTCTAGACGTTACGTTAGAAGCAACATCTCTCAGAGCTCCAATCTTGAGATGGAGGAAAGTCTTGAAGAAGAGCCCCAACCTATTAATGCAGAAGAAATACATGAAGATATCACAGATGAAATAGAAGATTATTTTACGGATAGTTCAGAAGAATTTAATGATGCAGAACAAATTGAAAGTGCTTCTCATGAAAGAGGAATGGATTCTGATAGTGATGAAGACAACAATAGTAATGACAGTAGTGACAGTGATTCTGAGGATACGAGCAGTTTGAGCAAAGCTTTTTTTAAAATAAAAAACCCAACAATTAATATTCCTTTTTTATCGAACCCAAACTTTTATGAAAATGATCATTTGTTGGCCATCATTGCGATTTCTATGCGCAACAATCTTTCATTTGAAGCTACATTGTCGATATTATCTTGGATGAAGTTAACGCACAATAACAATAACCTTCCAACGACGAAAAAAGCTCTGTGGAAAGCATTAAATCGTGACGACACATTGATAACAAGTCATTTATATTGTGGTATTTGTAAAGAACATCTTGGAATAGGAAAAAAGCCACTCATGAATGTTCTTGTGGTTCATGTGGCCCTAATGAGAAATCGGAAAATACTCATTATTTTCTTCAGCTTAATTTGACGAGCCAATTATCTGAACTTTTTAAAGTACCAGATATTGAAAAATCTTTAAGTTATCGATTCACAAGAGAAAAAAAAGATTTATCAGCTATAGAAGATATATTCGATGGACAAGTTTATAAGGATTTATGTTTACCTGGAAATTTTTTGGACAATCCATTAAATTTTTCACTAACAATCAACACAGACGGTTGTCAGGTAGCTAAATCATCAAAGGCTAGTGCATGGCCCGTTTACTTGCAGATTAATGAATTACCTCCACACTTACGTAAAAAGCACATGCTTTTGGCTGGAGTTTTTGTAGATTTATGCCATCCATCTTTGAATCTTTTATTACGTCCGATAGTCACGGAAATTCAAGAATTAAATAAAACTGGAATTGATTGGAAGACCTCAGAAGGTAGAAAAGTTAAATCAAAATTTGTAGTGACAACCTGCAGTGTTGATTCCCCAGCCAGATCTCTAATTATGAGAATGAAACAATTTAATGGATATAATGGATGTTCATTTTGTTACGCAATGGGAGAACATCGTGGAAATAAGCACATATATCCACGAAGTCACTCTTACGGAAATCTGCGAACTGATGAAGAAATAAGAGGTGACATGCTCACTGCCTATGAAACCAAGACAACTACTAATGGTATTAAGGGAATTTCTTCATTAGCTGGTTTGCCAGAATTCGATCTGGGTAAGGGACTTGCCGTTGAGTGTTTACATGCGGTTTTCTTGGGAGCTGTAAAACAGCATACAAATTTATTTCTTACTGTAACAGATTCTCCATTTTACATTGGAGATCCAGTTAGTAAACAAAGAATTGATAATCGCTTACTATCAATAAAACCTCCTTCTCGTCGTTCTCGACTGCCGCGAAAATTAGAGACGTTTAATAACTGGAAAGGCTCACAGCTAAGAAACTGGTTAGATTATGCTGCTCCATGCTTAGATGGCATATTAGACATGAAATACATCAAACACTTTACTCTTTTATCTCAAGCTGTGCATTATTTGAATGGAGATTCTGTATCAACAACTGATCTTGAAAACGCTGGAATTCTCATAGAAAAATACGTAACACAGTTTGAAGAATTGTTTGGGTTAGACCAAATGAGTTTTAATCTACATTTATTACCTCATGTGGTCATAACAATTAAGAATTTAGGGCCTATGTGGGCACATAATGCTTCAATCTATGAATCGTGGAATAAAAAAATTTTGGACAAAGTAACAAGTCCTCATGGAAGAGCTGACCAAATAGTTACACGATTTTTGATGACCAAGTTTATAGAATCGACCGTTTATAGTAATTCTATTTCTGCTGATACTAAGAAATTTATATGTAACACTCTAAAAATGCCTAACTTGAATAATGAAATCGTAATGAATGAGAATTTTCAAGCACTGAGCAGCCCTGAAACTATCGTCCTCCAAGAAACTGAGCTCAATGAACTTCGAGAAATGGGTTATACTCCAAAAAACTCCCCGTCGTCATACGCTAAAATCAAAGTGAATGGAATTGATTACATTAGGAAGAATGATAACGATAATAAATTTTGTAACTCAATAATATCTTACAACAAAGGGTTTGGAGAAATATTATCTATAATTGAGTTTGAAAATGAAGATAATTGTATAATTCAAGGATTTTTCGTAAAAGTTTACATTTTAAAAAAAAAATGCTTATGGTACAAATTACATTAAAGAAGTAGAAATAAGCAATGACATAACTTTTGTAAACAACTTAAAATTAGTCCGGCCTGCAACTAAAATATGTACAGACATGGGCATCTTTGTTTTTGATCTTCTAAATTGTTGGGAAACAGACTAATGACAAAAAGATTATCAAGAGTATAAAATTTATAAATATATCAAGTAATTAACACTCAAAATGAATGAATATACAATTTTTAAATAACTGTACATGAAAAGAAGGATATAGGAACTGTCTATTATTTTACGAAATTTGTTTCTGTTCAATGATAAGAAATACGAATACAAATTATGGTAACAGTTCCTATAACTTCTATAAAAATTCAAAGTAATGGATCCTGAACTATTATGGGTAATCAATATTTCACTGTATAAAGCTGATGTATCTTCATTAACGAGTTAAGTTGAAAGTGTACTTTTAACATTGAATTTTGATTTTGATAAAAATAAAGATAATTTTTTTTTTGTAATTTTGATATTTTTATCATTTTTTTATGAATGACATCTCAAAAGCTTTCGAAAATCTTCAAAAAAATTTTTTTCAATTAAATCAATAAATATTATTTTATACTGTAAAAAATGCATTATTTATTATTAGTGTGTGTTAATTAATAAGTGATTGAATTTGTAAACATACATTCTCTTCTACGAAATGATAAAATCCAACAAATTTTGCAAAAATTTCCTCATTCCATAACAACATTAGTTCAAGGTTATTCCAAACATCTACACTGTGAATTAAATATGAAAAAAAAAAATATTTCGAAAATTTTTTGATAACAGAGAGTTTTTGAGTATACAAGTCATTTTGCTGACTCAAACAGAAAAAATTTCTTTAAATAAAATGGATATTGTTGTGACAAGAAATTAATTTGCTGAAAATTTTGTACCATTATGTTTCTGAGATGAAGAAATAAAAATTTTTCTCACAGTAACTTTTTTGTTGAAAAAAAGTTTGGTAATTATTTAAAAGTGGGGTTCACCATTTTAATTTAATTTTTTTAAACAAATTTTTTTTTTTAAATTTTGATTCATTTTTTTAAATACATAAAAAAATAAAAAATTTGAAAAAAAAAGTTGATTAAGGTAAAAGCCCCAACAGATGATCACCGGTATATGATCACTCCATGTATTTGTATATCTACACGGAGAGAAAAATGTGGAAATCATTCCTCTATAATTTATATGAAATATTTTCCCATACCATTTTCGGAGCGATTACTTAAATCATGGGAATTATACCCATAATTTTTGGGAAATGTTACTATAATTATGGGAATCGTTCCTATAATTATAGGAATGGTTCCTATAATTATAACTGTATTATCGGCATGATTCCCATAATATATAGGAATAGTTTCCATAATATTATAGGAATGATGCCTTATAATATTGGAGTAAATTCTCTTCACACAACTGTGGTATTTAATTAATTTTTTTTTAACTGAATTTTTTTTTTTTTTTAGATTAAATGATTCTTTTTTTATAATATATAAATTGATAAAAAAGTTATCAGTAATAATATTTATTATTTTAATTATTAAATTAATCAGTTCTACCAGTTGATATTTTTTTAATCTTTAATGGTATACATGCTTGAAAATTAAAATAAAATTGATTAAAAAAAAAAAAAAAAATTAATTAAAACAAAATTTCTTAAACAATAAGATTTCCAATGGTTTTGAAATTCCAAATTTTCACATATTTTCGGGGCTCAACGTATGTATTGTAAATAAAGAATTTGCTTTAAAAATTAAATGAAATCGTAAAAATAAGCAATGAATTTCCATATCTATTTTGCTCCTTTAATTGTATGGGTGATTCTCTGTAAGGACGTCTTAAATCTGTATAAAACTGTCCGACCAAACTATTTTTGATTTTATTAGAAAAAATATTAACAAAGGCTACAAAACTATCATCTTAATGATAATAAATAAACAGCCAAATTAATTTTTGTTTTTTCGATATTTGTGTGTCTTTTGCCATACAACATGACAGGAGACTGTTTGCCAGGGGACTGTTTTTTTTTTTATCAAATTGAGAAAAATCAAGCAAACTATTTCAATGCATTCAACTTTTCAAGTTCTCCATGAATGTTTACATTAATCAGAATAATATTATGACTTATGGATCCAATTTTATAAATAAATTATAAATAAAAATAGTTGCCAGGGGACTGAGTTTTGAAGTGGCCCAGATACATATTTCCAGCATAAACGGTGCTTTATAATTGACACTAAATAAAATGGCGATAAAGCGCTAACAGCTCTATGGTTATTACTTTAAGGCTAGTTAGATCCTTATAAACCTTACAAAATGTAAAATAACACGTTGGATTTTTTTTTTGGCTTTGAACTTCTGCCAGGGGACTGTTCTTAAAATGCCTGGGACAAACTTTGGTTTAATGAATTTAATGAAACAAATTAATTTTCAGTACTTTTTATTGAAGAAGATTGTTAGTTAACTAATTAAGTTCATAAAAATTATGGACCAAATTATATAAGATCAATTTTTATTTGCAAAAAAAAAATTTATTAGCAAAAAAATATATAATAATTACTTTATACTTTTGACGAGATTGTATCATTATTAAGAAAATAAACTTTTTTATATTATTATATACGTCATTCCCATAATATTATAGGAAGCATTCCTATAATATTATAGGAACCATTCCCATAATATATAGAAGCTATTCCATTATCGTATGGGAACGTTTCCAATAAACTATGGGTATTGTTCTCATAATGAGTATAGGATTGATGCCTATAATGATCATTTTATTATAGGAACCATTCCCATAATTTTTGGAAAGGTTCCTTTACCCTACATCCTTTACCCTACACTGATAGAAAATTTATGTTGACTCAAGAGATATTTTCTTGATCTAAGAATTTATTTTGGAAGACAAATGATTATCTTGCTCTAAGAATTTCTTGTCTTGATTTAGATTTTCTTGGCTTAAGAGCTATATTATCTTCAATCGATACATTTAAGTTTTTCAATCAAAATAACATTATCGTTTAGAAAACTTAAAATAATTCATCAAAGTATATTTCAAAAACTAAATATTCTTTAATTGTTATACCAACTTAGAAATAATTATATTATTATTAATGACTCAAAAAAAAGCTATTCTTAACACAAGTCGGTAACATCTTGAATCAATGTTATCGCCTATCTTGAACCAAGAGATAAAAATTCTTGAAACAAATGTATCTATATCTAGTTTCAAGAGTTCAAGTTTTGAAGAAAAAAAGTTTCTTGAATCAAGATTGTTTTTCTATCAGTGTATATAGGATCCTATACATTTCTCTCCGCGTATATTCACAAATATAGATATACAAATACATGATCATCTATTGGGGCTTTTACCTTACCACAATTTTAACAAATTTTCCAAAAAATTTATTTGATTTTTTTTTAAATTAAAAAAAAAATTTCGTTAAAAAAAAAATTAAAATTAAAATGGTGGACCCCACTTGTAAATAATTATCAAAAGTTTTTTTTGATTGGAAAAGAACAATTTTAGATAATAGAAAATTTGTGAATTTTTATCCAAAATTGTTCTTTTTCGAAATTTACAAAAATTTTTTTCAACAAGAAAATTACTGTTTGAAAATTTTTTATTCTGTCAACTCAGAAATAAAATTATTGAAAATTTTCAACAAATTAATTTCTTATCGCAGCATTGTTCCTTTTTTTCGAAAGAAAATTTATTTCTCAGTGTACAGTGGGATTTTTGTATAAATATGGTGTATTTCTGGTATTTTTTATAAATAGTAAAATTCCAGCATAAATACGGTGTAATACCTGATTTAGAAGTTTAGGAGTATCGTCAGTGTAAGTAGGGTGTAATACCTATGTTTTCGTTGCTAACAGTGGAGTTCTAGTGTAGAGACGGTGTAACGCACGCTTTTTTACATTTACAGTGGAATTCCAGTGTAAAGACGGTGTAACACACGCTTTTTTACATTTACAGTGGAATTCCAGTGTAGAGACGGTGTAACACATGTTTTTTTACATTTACAGTGGAATTCCAGTGTACAGACGGTGTAACACACGCTTTTTTACATTTACGGTGGGATTCCAGTGTTGAGACGGTGTAATATCTGTTGTTTACATTCAAAGTGAGAATTCGGTGTAAACACGGTGTAACGCAGCAGATTTTCATCACCGCTGTGCTTACACTGAAATTCTACTGTAACACACCGTGGTACTCTGGTGTAAGTACCGTGTAATTTTTTCACATTTACACCGTGTGATTTTAGTGTATTCGGTGTAAACGGATCTGCTAGGGCATGGTCACAACAGATTGTCGGTAATACGACCGATGAATATTTTCGGCATGGCCCATAAAGTTGGAAATATCATAAATTTGACATTCATCGATTTTTAACGAAGCGACTGTTGTCGCGAAGTGTTTCCGTAGTTGTGTAGCCCTTAGCCGTTCGGGATGTTGAGCACCACAAAGCTTACTAAATATCTGCATAAGTCCGCAAGCATGTAGATACTTATAACAAGTGCCATCAAAACCCGGTAATCCAAATATATGAGGATTTTTGGGATCGACTTTTGCGGCTTTACGATGGTCAAGTACTCACTGAACATATTTCTGCATCTTATTTGACATGATTAAAGGAACTTCACGATCTTTTTTCCCTCCAAATTCAAACCGTATGTATGAGTCAACAATTATTTTTTCATCTGATGTTAAGCGAGCGTATTCTTCAGGATTCGTTTTTTCAAATTTGTCAGCGTTGTTATAATCATCAATTTTTACCCTTTCCAGCTCACCTGGACGCTTTCGATTGAACAATAGAACAAAAATTAATGTCATTTCGGACAACAATTTCCAAGTTCGGAAACGGAAATTGTTCTCTAAAAAATTATAGGCCGAAAGCAGATGTTTTGAAATGAAATCACGAAATCGGTCAATGTCATCCATGGTTGGCAATAAGACCTGTTTGTATCGCTTTTGAGTTGTTTGCACATTTCGAGCTAGACTGTTAACTTTAATCGGAAATTCAACTGCATGAATTTTCAGAAAATATTCTACATCCTTCGCTTTTTTATATTCTCGCTGTTTGATTAGCTCCTTTTCATACAACTTAGCAATCTTAGTTACCCAAGTACCCACCGTTGTCGCAGTTGATGGTGATTTGCACTCATTACTTTCAGCATCGGCACCAAGAATACTTTAGATAGCTATAATCAAATTGTCATACATCCTTGGGTCAAGAATATCAGCAAAAGTATTTACGTTCATTGGATTACACTTTTGGTCAATTCGACTACTTTTAAAACAATGTTTATTGTATTCTTTTAACTTGAGTAAAATACTTCCCAGCATTCTCACTTGTGAACGAATCATCGAGTGTTGATGTGGGTTTGTATATTTTTGAGAAAGTTCATTGACAAAGGTAATCAGCAACGGATCTTGTCTTACTGCTTCTGAAATACTGTCGTCATTATTAATTGCAAGTATTTTTCTTGTTCATGATGTTGCATTATTACAAATTTGACCCATATTAAAATTTTCGACTTTATAAGATCTGATCTATCTCCATTAGATTCTTTACCATATGGACATTTATGGCGATTGATATACTGTAACCATCGCCCACATTTATGGCATGGTTCGAAGTCATGTACGTTAGCTAACGAAGTTTTTTGTGGTTGTCGAGTAACGAGTAATCTACCGTGGTTAAAATCATTATTTAAATTGAAGAGCTGCGTTCCCTTAAGACGTAACTTTTCAATAGCTGCGATTCTTTCAGTAGATCCTAAAAGTATTTATAATTATGTGATATCAAACAAAAACTTAATTGAATAAACTTACTTTTTTTTAAAGACAGAAAATGTTGGACTTATTTAGAGTAGAACTGCTCAAACCTATTAGTAATAATTTATAATTAACACTGATTGACATAATGCTTAAGCCTAACTTTTAATTAATAAGCCTAACATTTTATTAATAAGCCTAACTAGTAATTAATTAAATGAAAGGTAATTTTTCTCATGAAAATTTACATTTGTAAAAGCCAAAGGAATTTTTCGAGTTTTAAGATTTGATTTTTTTATGATATGATCAATTACAACTAAAAAAAACCTTTTTGTTATACTCGCTCCAGAAGTTCAACTTCTGAGCGCTGAGTGGCGTCCGTAAAGGGACTCTTTTCTAGAGGCTCTACTATACCGTCTTTTTCTCACGGCCTAGGCCGTGAAGTTTTACCCCCTCCTTTTTTTTACAAACTTTTCATGTACACCCAGACGAAATTGAGAGACATTGTAAAAAAAAAGTCACATTCTAGCGTACCGACCGATAATTTTTAGTCTTAGTTACTATTGAGTGGCGCTAGTTATTTCTCTGCTGGCAGTTTATTACCAAGCGGACCGAATGTTAATAAAATAACAGCAACGCCATAAATAAATACAGTGAAAACTGTTAAAATTTACCGTAGTTCTGTCTCAATTTCTCATAAAACACTAATAAGAGTAAGAAAGACAGCCTGGGTAACTTTTTAGAGCTTTTACTGTACTAATAAAAAGTTATTTACATTTTCTGGACGTTAGCAAGATTTTAATAATAAGATAATTAATATAAAATTAATTTTTCTTGGCTTTGTGAAACTTCCTCAAATTCAAATGTCATTATTTGCCTCCTATGCCTTAAAAGTTGAACTTATGGAGCGATAATAACAAAAAATATTGTATGTCATTCGGCCGTTTAGTGGCGATTTTGACAACGACTTTTTTTCGATATTCGCTTTAATGTTTGTGACACGAATGTTCGAAAACGAGCGTAAATTTCCGTCCTCGCCTACGCCTCGGACGTTTCGGACCTTCCTGCCACAAACCTTAAGCTCATATCGAAATATCCTCGCTGTCAGAAAACCGTCACTTCACGGCCTTATGACATAAATATCTATTTTGTTGAACATTTGAATCTTGTTTACTCAAAAATAATGATAAATAACGCACAATTAAACGTAAGATAATCGAAATCATGTTAAAAAATTAATATTTTTGGTACTATTCCTATGTTTACAAATACTTATTTATACTAAACTCTAAGAATCAAAATTCTAGCTAAAATATGAAAAATACAAAAAAATCATTAAAAAATTTTCTTAAAGACAACCAAATTCCTTACAACTTTCATATAAATGTTTTGCTTGTATCTCTTCTTGTTTAGTCAAAATATCAATTGAGAGTTACTGAGAATATATATTAAAATTATTTCTAATTAAGAATCTTTAAGTCGAAAATTCAATTCTCGATAAGTTTTAGTTAAAACTTTCTTTCTATATTAATTGGTTTTCAATTTATAAAAGTGACATGAATTGCTGCAGGTCATATTAATAATAATTTGAAAATTAGGACTTTTAAGTAAAATGATCATTAAAGAATAAATTGGTGACTTTACTTACGCGACTGATCAGTTAATGTTGGAATCGATAAACCAGTATCATTTAAATGATCTTTTTCATAGTTACAATTACGTAGTTCTGGAAGATTATTTCCAGCGTGAAGTTCAACACTTAAGGATAAATTATTCACGTCATAATCTGTTGAACCAATACTATCGCGAATAATTTCATCATTATCCACGTAATCTAGATCATCAATTATTTCCAAATCTTCGAGCTCACTTATATAGGAGCTGTTGCAATCGCTTTGATCATCGTAGTTTGAATTACTTAAATTATCATTATCTATTTCTTCCATTATAATTTGATTACTTGAAGCGCCAAAACTTTGCGTGGTAACATTTAAATTTTTTTTTTCATTATTATCAGCAATGTTAATTGAATCACGGACTGAACACATGGTCAATTGTTTTAAACTAGGTTCCATAGTTGAACTAGTCTCTCTAGTAGAATTTAATTTCTAACTAGGTTCCATAGTTGAACTAGTCTCTCTAGTAGAATTTAATTCAGTCTCTTCATAAGAGTCCTCACCCAAGAAATTAGAATGTCCTAACGCTGTTAGTGAAGTAGCATGTTCAGTAGCAGTTAAGCTTATGTCAGCTACTTGATCACTGGTTTTAAGTTGATCAATAGGCGCATTAATGATAAATATAGGCATATTGTCGAAATCAGCTGACGTATAGTCTGGAATTTTCGTGGACCCATTTTTTGAAATAAATATGCCCGACAAGTCGGATACGATTTTCGGTTGCACATTTCTTGAGCTTATAGCCTTATGTATGGAAGTAGTACAGGATGAGTTTTGCGATTGTGAGTCTGGAGAAATTTCATCTGTATGAGCAGTAGTAAACTGTGAATCTTGTGCTTTTGAAAGCTCAATATCCTGGCCCATATTACCTGAAGAATACTCCTCGAAAGTACCATCACAACTGTCTTGAACTAAATTTCTATCTTCTAAAGCTATTTCACCGTTTAAAATATTTTTTTCGTCCACATCTGAAGAACTGCAGCTGTAATTATGATCTAAGAATATATCTGCTATCCAGTTCTTATGATTAGCTAAAGTGAGGTCAGGAGAACTTTTAAAGTATCAACAGTCAGTATCAACAGTGTCCTGAACGATAGACGGAGATTCAGTGTGCTTTAATACAGATATTGACATCAATTTTCCATCAGAGATGTTAGCCTCAGCAGTTTTAATATTATCATAAATAACAGACTTTGCTTCAACTTGCTTTAATACCTCTGGTGACATCAATTCCTGACCAGCAGTGAATTGATTGATTTTTTTTAGAAGAACTCTAGGAACGTTTTTTGTCAAATTAGTCGCAATATGTTTTAAAACTGACAAGTTATCTAAAAAATTTTAAACAGTATAATCAATCATTTATTTTAATTCAAATTATTTATAAGAAATTATGTTACGGCATATTTTATAAAAATTTCGATAAAAATTGACAAAAAATTAATTAATTACCTGATCGTAAAAGAATGTCAACATTATAGCCATTGTGTTTACTAATATTGCGGTTTAATTTTTTACGTGATTTACTTTTTCGAATAACCGAATATTCCAGGTTATTATTTCTGATCAAAGAGTACATTTTATTGTATTGCTCAGACAATTTTAATAATTATACCAATTGAATTCATTAACATACGAATAAAATATTAAAGACATCTAACAATAAAATATTACAAGTAGTCTGGCTAAGAAATGATTTTTGTTTAAATAAATTTTACGAATTGTAGCTGTGTACTCTACGAAAAATTACACCATTTATGAAAAAAAGTGTAGTCGAAAGATAGACAGTCGATAATGTCTGAAAAGTCTCATAGTTTTTTAATTTAGTTAGTCAATAATATCGCTTAGAGGCGCCACTAACAAAAGGTAGTGAGTGTATACATTTTCGTGACTTGATTAAAATATTTTCGAAGCAAAGATAAATAGTATATAAGGTAAAAGTCTCTATTATGAGACGATGTCCCCATTTATGATACACTACATAAAAATACTATTTTATAAAAAAAAAAAACACCGCTAGCATACCAAAAGTATAATAAATATATTATTTCATCTATTCCATTTTCGACTTTGGTTGTTAATTAATTCCATACTGTTTTTTAAAAATATTTATTAAAGTGCGAGGTTTGTTATCTGTGCTCAAAGCCACGACCGAGAATAGTAAAACGACAACGGCTACCTAGTTTTTTATATTAGTGTAATTTCATTGTGTCTTCTACTTTTATATTAAATTGTATATCAATTGAAAGCTGATGAGTAATAGACTTTATTTCTATACACATTTATGCGTTTTTTTTCTCTTATTTCAAAAACTATTTTAAATATTAGTGTTTTATAAAGAATTTTTATTTGCAGATAGAAAAAAGCAATTGCCTGGTTCGGCATTTTCTGGATCAACCGAGACAGGACCAAAAACTGACCCCAAAAAGATGAATTCATCGGATACACTAACAGATCAAAGTGATAGATCAAATGAATTGAAAAATCTAATCACGTTCGAGTCCTCACATCTATCAGTTTGGCAAGTTTTTCATATAATTATGGCGATTGTATTACGTTTTAATCTATCTGATGAGGTTTGGCAGGCTATTCTCGACTTGATCAAACTTGCAGCTGGACCAAAATTTAAATATCTAGACACCTCGAAATAGCAATGAGTAAAAATATAAAGGCCGATGTCACGTGCAGTGGATGTAAAAAAAAATATAAAACTTCCAAGAAGAAAGGGAATTTTTTTGTTACTGTCGATTTAAAAACTCAACTGGATAATTTTCTGTCTTCTGAATCCATGCGAGAAGAAATTCACAATCGTAATAATAGCCACAGAGATGATTGTATAAGTGATGTATGTGACAGTGATCGGTACATGAATGATAAATATATTCAATCTAAGAGTGACGAGGAAAATGTTGTGTTAACGTTAAATGTAAATCTCGATGGAGCACCTTTGTTCAAAAGCGGTAAAAATAGTTTTTGGCCAATCCAATGTGTAATTAACGAGATATCTCAAAAAATTAAACATAAATTCATGCTCTTGGCTGGACTGTCGTACACTGCTACTGAACCCAAACCACAGTTCATGAATTTATACTTAGATACATTCATAAGCCAAGTTAAAGAGTTAACAAAAACAGGTTTGCAAGTATTAGCTGAAAATGGTCGCATTATTACGTATTACGTCAAAATCTTTTCTTTTCCCGTGGATTCTGTAGCACGGCCCGTCTTGCAAAATCGATTACAATTCAATGGATTCTTTGGTTGCAGTTGGTGTTATCAACGTGGGAAAACCAGCTCAAAGAGTTTGAAGTATTCATTGTCTTCTGAGAATCCTCCACTACGAGATCATGAGATGTACTTGACAGACGTAGAACAATTAAAAAAAGATCTCGAAACTCTTCCAAAAACTAAAAAAAATGAAAAATACACAGTTTTTGAAGTAAAAGGATCTAGTGTTTTGTCAAATCTACCGGATTTCGATTGTATATGGGGTTACCCTCACGATTATATGCATGGGGTATTATTAGGAGTTGAGCGTCAACTTTGGAATAAATGGAGCAAAGACTATCTTTCAGTAGATCAAAGAAAATTAGTTAATGCCCGGCTAACAACCATACAACCGACAAATGAGATTCATAGAACTCCACGAGTTCTGTTAAAAAAACAATCCTGGAAAGCGACAGAATGGCGGTCTTGGCTTTTATTTTATAGTGTTCCAGTTTTGAGCGGAATATTGCGGCAAGACCTTTTAGATTCCTATAAATTATTGGTGAAAAGTATTTCTAAACTGCTTTCTGTCAATATAACGGAAGATGAATTATTAGAATGTGAAATGAATCTGTAAAGATTTGTGTACGACTGCCAAAATTTTTATGGGGAATCATTTATCACATTCAATGTTCATTCATTGCTGCATATCGTTGACAGTGTTCGAAAAAACGGCCCTTCTTCGGTGACATCAACATATGTCTTCGAAAATAATATATTTAATCTGAAACAAAAAGTATCAGGTCCAAATGGTGTTATGGGTCAAATGGCTAACCGAACACTACGTTATAATAACTTCCAAAAAATGTTGTTCGAAGAATCAGAGGAATCCTGTCGGGAATTCTGTGAGCAAATTTTAAACAAGAGACGGGAAAACGTGTATAAATCTGAAAAATCTGAAGATGGAGCGTTAATGATGGACTATTTACGTGATCATGAATTCAAAATCTCAGGACGATATTACAATCGCTGTTTATTTAAAAAAACAATGTATCACTGTGTTCTTTACACACAAGCCCAAAAAACAAACAATTCGTTCATTAGATTAGAGGACGGTCGGATGGCGAAAATCGTTCAATTCTTATTACAAAATAAAAAAGCTTTCATGGAAGTTCAAATATTATCTGTAGCGGTTGTGGAAAATTTTGAGCATCTATGGATGATTCAGAATTATAAAAGTGATGTGATACGATTACCAATAACGAAAATTCAGAATAAGATGATTTATATAGCTATAAAAGCATTATCATGCTCAGAAGAAAATAAAGATTATTTGAGTGTTCAATAGGTGATATCCTCATTTTTTAACAAATATAAGTAATGCTGTGAAGCGGGAAAGAATAGGAGTTACGGATAATTATTACGTGAAGCGTTCCAACATTCACGTAACAGGATAATTGGTAGGAAAGGATTGAGAAAGGATTGTGGAGAGGATCATCTTAATGTGAGTGTATAGAATATGCGAGAAAAATTATTAGATAGCTCGGACTGGGATTCGAACCCAGAACCTTCCGAAGACATGTCGGCTACTCTACCATTTGAGCTATCCGGTCTATACTAAATTTCCTTTCACTTATTTTATATACATTAAGCCACACCGTCCATCTTACGGCTAGCATTTTTAATGGATATCCTAAAAAAAAAATATTATTATTTTTAACGAAATTATTAATTTTAGTTAATTTTAATTCATTTTAATTCATTGTAATCAATTTTAATGAATTTTAATTAATTTACAAACATGTATGGAATTCACTCACATTCCATGCTTGTAAAGGTGGACCCTAGGATCTCCGCCGTCCATCTTACGGCATAAAATAAATATTATTATTTTTAACGAAATTATTAATTTTAGTTAATTTTAATTCATTTTAATTCATTGTAATCAATTTTAATGAATTTTAATTAATTCACAAACATGTATGGAATTCACTCACATTCCATGCTTGTAAAGGTGGACCCTAGGATCTCCGCCGTCCATCTTACTGCACTTCAAACATATCCTAATATGTTTGAAGTGCAGTAGAAAAAAAAACAGTTAAAATCAAAACTTTTGATTTGATTTATACACATTTGTACGGTAGAATTACATATAAATTAGCCATACTTTTTTATATTTGCATGCACATCAGTATTTCTATCAATACATCTTTGAGTACCAGAATGAATTCCTTCATTCAAAACGTCCTAAAAATGTTGAGTATTGGGAAATCATCCACTTAAATACGCTACCTGACGGATCTAATGCGAACTACTCTATGCAGGTCGAGTATGAACAGCTAATGTCATATAATATGCCGAAATTGCAGTTGGAATTTGTTAAATTCTTTTTTAAAATATTAATTAATTAATTATAGTCCATAAACTTAGTTATTATTTGAAATAACATCAATTTATCGATCAAAAATTTTTAATCATGTAGTTTCCTCCACGAGAAAATAAAAATCAAACTTTCTGCTGCGTGTATGGGTGTAATTGCAAGTCATCTAAAAATTTTTAGAATTTCTTTTATTGAAAAAATTTCACATGTAAAAAGTTTTAAAAATTATACGTGCAATTTTGTAAAAATATTTTTTTTGTTCTAATTTAATTAATAAAAAAAATCTAAAATTTTTGAACGTCGGTTAACTTTAATGTCATTAGCAAGTCTAGTAAGAAGTTAGATTTTACACTTTTCCTCCGACCAATTCTAGTTCTGTGGTGATAAAAAATAAATTTGGTAAAGATGAAGTTATAGACCGTCGATTGGCTTGGATAAAAGCATTAGAAATCTGAAATAAAGTTACACAGTCCAAGAGAGTGTGTTCATTACATTTTACCAAAAATGACTTTATACCAATTAACATAAATATTTTTATAATCACAAAAAAAAAACAATAATTATAAGCTGTGAATTTTTGAAGTACAATGTAATACGACAGATTTAAATTACTTAAATAACTAAATAAATGTTTTTGTAAAATAAAGAATTGTAATTATAGTTGCAATTTTATAACTACAGTAATAAGAATAAGTCGCATGAATAATTCTTAAATAATTAAAAATTTTTATTGCTGGGCTGAGTACTGGCAAATTCATGATGCTGAAAGAAACAGATATCTGACAATTTTTTGGATTTTTTAAACCAGCAGATTTTTACAAAAAAAAAATAATAGAAAAAATTCACATATAGAAATTTTAAAAAACTAAAAGTGAAACTTTTCTAAATTTTTTGTCCTAATTTATTTCTTTAATAAAATAAAAATTTGACAGGTTGTCTACTGATTTCATCATCATGCAAATTCACAAATTTCTTGAATTGAAATTTTCATTATTTATTAAATTTCTATTAAAAATTCGATTTAATACAACGTGTAAATACACGATTGAATATGAAAACAAGGCAGATTATTTAAAAATGCGTTTTACAGTAGTAACTGCTTCTGCCGCAAGGAGAAGCCACGCCCCCGGCTGATTTCCCAATACTTCGATATTTATCAAATACTAGTAAATCTACGAATATGTATTATTTTTGTATTAAAAAAAAAGAAATAAATAAAAAGTGTTAAGAAAGTTCAATATTCCTTAATATTTATCAATCATTAATAGAGTAAAAAAGTTATCATTATTTTTGTATTGAAAATAACTAAAAAGTATTGACAACCTTCAGTACTTTCTGATATTTATTAATTCCTAGGGAGTTCAAAAATGATGTATTATTTTTGTATTGAAAATAATTAAAAAGTATTGATAATTATACAGTACTCTCTAATATTTATTAATTCCATAGGAGTCAAAAAATTATGTATTATTTTTGTATTGGAAATCATTAAAAAGTATTAAGAAAATTCTGCATTCTTCGATAAATATCAATCCCTAGGGAGTCTAAAAATGATGCATTAATTTTGTATTGAAAATAATTAAAAAGTATTTAAAATTTTCAGTACTTTCTAATATTTATTAATTCCATAGGAGTCCAAATATTGTGTATTATTTTTGTATTAAAAATGATTAAAAAGTATTAACAAAGTTCAGCACTCTTCAATAAATATCAATCACTGATGCAGTCAGAAAATTAGCATTATTTATGTATTGAAAATAATTAAAAACTATTGAAGATTTTCAGTACTTTCTAATATTTATTAATTTCTAGGGAGTCCTTAAATTATGTATTATTTTTGTATTAAAAATGATTAAAAAGTATAAAGAAAGTTCAGCACTCTTCAATAAATATCAATCACTAGTGCAGTCAGAAAATTAGTATTATTTTTGTATTGAAAATAATTAAAAAGTATTGAAGATTTTCAGTACTTTTTTAAATACATTAATTTCTAGGGAGTCCTGAGATTATGTATTATTTTTGTATTGAAAATAAGAAGTTTTATACTTACATTTTGAAAATTATTTATTGCTACAAATCGCTAACTTAATTCTGAAGTAATAACGCAGCCGGACATAGCCGATTGCAATATATTATTATTGATAGTATAATACTTTTACAATTTTCAAATCGCAAACTTAATGCAGACTGTATTCAATTCATTAATCCATATATTAGTCGCAATCTTAATGCTGACTATTTAAAATGCATGTATTTATATCAGTCGCAAACTTAATGCAGACTGTATTCAATGCATTTATCTATGTACAAATCGCAAACTTAATGCTGACTATATCCAGTGTACACACACATTGGATGGAAGTATATTCTTGCCGAATATAGTACATATTTCAAAGTCGCAAATCCAATGCTGACTATTTTAAATGCATTTATTTATGTCAGTCGCAAACTTAATGCGAGCTGTAAAATGTGCTTCTACATTGCTAGTCGTAATATATTTATGCCGACTGTACGATACATGCATGTTTTCAGTCGCAAATTCAATGCATACTTCATAATTATTATGAAATATTTATAGACTGTACAAAAATTCAATTAGTTCATTGTCAGTACGTGACTAATAGTCATTTTCTTCCAATGAATCATTTATTGAGTCATCATCAAAATAATCATTTTCTGAATCTTCCGAGAAGGAGTCAATATCATCATCGATATTATTATCATCATTTACGCTGGAAGGATCTGCATTATTTTGATTTTTATTATTGTCAGAATTATTTACTTTTGAAGTGTTTCGGATTCGAACAATCGGAGTTAATGAAAACCATTGCTTCACTTGTTTTTGTCCATAATAAAACTCCTGTAAGAGTTCATCTCGTTCTTCATCAACTTCAGGGTCAACCGTATGGAGCTTTTCTGATTGATCTTTTTCTTCTTCATCAGTTGAACCATACAGTAAAGTTGGATTCAATAATTCGGGTACTAAGAATTTCCAATAAAAATCATTTAGACGAGGAAACATTTCTTTGGTCCAAAATGTTATATCATAATAGATTTTCAGATTTAGTGAAGCTTTAGGTGTCCATATAGATAAAATACACCATTTTCGTTTTGCGATGTGTAATTGTCCTTGAATTTGATGATAATAAGAACTGCTTGTTCTTAAAGATGTAGGATCTTTATCTTTAAAGTGCTCATTACCCCATTTCGTACCTTTTCTGACAGCTTCTGTGGGATCTGCATCTTTTAAAGTGTAAGGACATTTAATTTCAACGATGCCATCATCACCAACTAAGCCATCTGGTGATGCTCCAAATCCAAGAATTTTGTCATCAATAAATAACCCACAAGGTTCAATTTGAATATCTTCATGTTCTTCGAGTCTATCGAGTGCATTTGGTTCATTATTTTTACCGTAAACCATTGCAGGATTATGGCTATTTCTTGATGGATACAAAATTTTCTTTACATTGTCTTTTTTTGTTTTGTCTGTTCTACATTTACATGCGTTCTTAAAGTTCGATGCAGTTAAAAGAAGACGACGAATAGTATGCCATTTTTCGCACTCAGCTTGATCAATTGTCTCACGTTCTAACTTGACACGATCATTTTGAAGCTGCTGTAATTTTTCTCGGTGCCTAGCAAGTAAGTTTTGATATTCATTTGGAGTAATTGCTATACCCGCCTGTGGTCCATAGTAGCAATCTTGTGTACCATTACCTTTTTTGCAATAACGACCTTGAGAACCTTTTTCGGTATAGCGACGATTGTTATATTCTACTTTTTCTTTTCTTTTATTTTCTAAAGTTACCAATCGTTCAGGAATACTTTTTTGCCAAGTAGCCAAAGTGTCGCACATAGCTGCTTTACTATTATATTGAATCACAGCAAATGCCACGCGAATTGAGTACCCACCTAATTTGCAAAAATCTATTCGCTTACCACCGACTTTTGTAGCTATAATGTTATTGGCACATTCAGCTGGATTATTACTCGAATTTAATAGTACATCTCCTGGAACTGATTGACATCGAGCAAAGTATCCGAGTATTGTATTCCAGACATTCAATTTAATTAAGTCAGGTACGTGATTAGTTGCCGATTTTTTATCACAATAATAAGGTTTACAATTTTCATGTCGTCCAAATGCATGGAATGGCATATTTTCTAAATCTTCTGCGATCATCTTAACTTTTGTTTTAAAGGCATTGTTAGTGGACATTATGTAACGAGCAGCTTCTCGAATTGCTTTTGAACTTCGTATACCAGCTTCCTTAGTGGCCTTTTGAAGATTTTTTTCGTTTTTTAGCTGGCTTGATTTTTCAACTTTTCCCAAGTTTGTTGATAATCTACGAAGCATGTGATTCATACAATTTATTCTTTCCACTTCAACACCATGTGTTTTATATACATTGTGATCGCACAGTTTTTGATGTACACTACTATCACCATCGGTCACAATATTTTTGTATATCAAATTATACTTTTCAACACTAGCTTGGAATAGTTCTAAAATCATATCTGATTCCATTCGTGTTGATGCTAGATGAGGTCCGTAATTCTGCCAACAAAGATGATACGGTTTTTTTCCGGATTTACACTGTGAACATCTTTTATTAGCTACTCCAACATCTAATACTTTGTTAATGTATTGATCCAGGACAAGAGCAGCTCCAGATGATGAATTATATAATCCTGAAGCATAACTTCTTTTGAGATAGGTGCCGTCAGTTATAACTGTCGTACACGGTATGCCATCTTTAGTAACACGTCCTTCATCGCAAGCTCTCCGCTTAGATTCTTCAGCAGCTTCAGTCATTGATTGAACTGCTGTTTTTGTTACATAACAACCTACAACAGTCTCAGCTACAGTGTATGATTGATAGTTATGACATGGTAGATCTGCAGCTGTTAATAACCCTTGCAGCTGATAAAATCCAATGCCACTACTTATACAACCTAATACGATGCTATCATTAGTACGTGCAATATCATTTGATTGTCGTTCACTAAGAACTATAAATTCAAATTCACACGCAGAGCACTCGTATAAAATTGAACATTGTAAACCATTCATTATTGGCCCAATGTAATTAAGGCAGCAGTTCAACTGTCGACATTCCTCATGAAATGAAGCAAGGCGATGTTCATAAAATGATTGATTAAGTTGTTCTGTTAAGTATTCCACATCAACTATCAATTTTTTGTGAGCATCACTTACAAAAGAGCTGCGTGGACGCTTTTGTCTTTTCTTCTTTTTTTTGGTTTTTGATGATGGTTTATTACTATTTAAATTAATTGATGATTTTTTGATATTTGCATCATTTTTTCCACTGTTTGATGAATTATTTACCGTAGGATCATTTGGAACACTGTCCGATGAAGAATTTACAGTAGGATTCATAGGTTGATTACTTAATGACGTAACATCCGATGAATTTTCTGCTACATTTTCCTCTAAATTTGTTAAATACGATTTTAAAATTTCGCATAGTCTATCTCTACTTAGTCCTTCGACATTGTAAATTTGATCATTAGCTTTACAACTATTTATTTCAATTGTAGCTAGAAGGTAGACATTTCTTTGTGCATCTGTATTTTCCTCACAAATGAACATATTTGTAACAATCATGATCAATAATTGTTCTAAATTATCAAAACAACAAACACAAGATGTACCATCTGCATCAATAATGCCTGATTCATTTCGGCTGTGTGAATCGAATAAATAGTATAAACCATCACAAGAAATAATTGCAACTGAAACGTTATTCATTGTCAGTATTGCGTTTATATTATTTCCTTGAAACATCTCAAGTCGTTGCTCTAATGACATAAGCTCTGCATCACGAGTGTTAAAACATTTTCCATAAAAAATTTCCTTAAATGTAAAGGTACAACTGAAATTTGGGAAAATATATACTTCATTACAAAGCTCATGAACTTCCAAATAATATTGATCGATAGGTCCTCCATCAACAGGAGGATTATCCCGTAAAGACATGCTAGTCTCATAAAGACAATTTCCAACGTCAAGTACGATATCAATAATTCCGGACTTCCAAGTTTCAATTGGAATAAAAGTTGCCGATGCTATGGCAGAAGCAGCCATCGCAGTACATTGGTTACCAGCAGACATTCCAAATTTAGGATTAGCTTGATTTATACTACCTCTAATAACACTATAAGGCTTTTCTTTGTATGAACAATGTGGTTCACGTTCTGACGAAGGCAAGCTATCGTTCGAATTCTCAATATTAATGTTAATATTTCGATTACTATTGTCATTATCAACTATCATTGTCTCGATTCCTTCAGTTACTTCGTTAACATCGTTATAACTATTAACGGAGGATGTCTGCGTAAGGCTGTTCGGTTGTGAATCAATAATGTCTTCTTCAGAAATTTGTGACTTTTCACTCTCTTCACAATTCTCTGAAACATTATCAATCACTGTAAATTGGGAAGGGTACTTACCATTTTCTGCCACTGGTGATTTATTTTGGCACTTTTCGGCTCGGCTCTTTACAAACCTAGAGAATATAAATAATTCGAAAATGAAGTGTGAGCTCTAGAAGATCATTTAATTTTTTTGTTAATTACACCAGCACACCAAAAAAATGGTTTATATATTTCATCACAACAACATTGAATTATGTATTTCGATACGCTGAATCCGAATTTGAAGATTATGTAGCTAATAAATTCTCTAAAATTAGAGTAAATCTCGAAAAATTGCTAAAAATCGCTAAAAAATTACAACTTTTCTAGCGACATAAAATTTCTAAATCTAGATCAAGTTTGTCCTCATGTATTTTGATGAAATAAATGCAAATCTGAGGTTCGTTTGGCTTGTACGCCCTTTGTTGGGGGATATATATATATATATATATATCAACAAATTTATCATAATTTAAAAAAAAAAAAAATTTTTTTCGTTACAATTTTTTTTTCGAGTGGTCCATTATGCCCCATATATCACATATTGGCCCAAAATATCATTAAAACATTGTAGAGGTCATAACTTGAGGGAAATTAAAAAAAAAATTTTTACCTAATTTTTGAGGGGGGCCGTCGTGCCCCAGGTTCCCCTACGTTTTTGCCTGTGGTTTTTAAATTCTGATGTTTAAATTCTACTTACTATCTTAGATAGTAGCTGTTATAATTCCTGATGGTTACTGTTCCCATCAGAAATTATAAATATAACCATTTAGGATGATAATTGTAACTAACTCTAATCTAATTAACATACAGGATTGTAACAGTTATTATAAATATGGTAAATGCTACCATCTACATGATTTCTTCTATTATCTGCTATTATTTAATTTTTTCCGTGTACAAATGACTTACGCAGCGAATTTCTTTTTCCTTTCCTTTCTTATTTTGGTATTTCTGTTCGTGATACGAAATCCATTTCGTACGAAAATATTTTTTTGCTTACATAATTGTATTTTTCCGCGATTTTTAGCCATTTCTGAAGGTTTTTTTGCAGTTTCCTAAAAATTTGGGTCATGTATGGGCTAAACTGACCACAAATTCTGATTTAGCACATCGAAACACATTATCCTAGGTGGGTCTGGTCGAATGTACAAACCACTTTTTTTTTGTTTGCCGGAGTTATATAGTATTAATATATGTTCGTCAATATTGATAAGACTTTTAAATAAAAGTTAAGCTAAAACTGACAGGCTCAATAAACATGATCAGCAAGAAATCGGGGTGGTAATCATATAAAGAGCAAGATCTATCTTTAAAAGGAAAAATGAAGAAAACGATTGACCCCACAAGCCATCCCTGCAACTTCATGCTAATTTCAATTGCAAAGCGCTCTAAATTTCACCTATTACGACGTCTTTCGGATGTTCGAGCTTAAAAACATGGTTTTACAGCTATTTTGAACTTTCTAAGCTCCAAAATGGAATTGCTATATGCTTTTGAACTTTTTAAGCTGAAAAGTCTATTTTTTATTCGGTAAAACATTTTTTTGAACACATGTTAACTGCTATAGCTTTCAGACAAGTCAATTTGATCGGTTAAGACGTTCACACACACACACACACACACACACACACACACACACACACACACACACACACACACA